CATTTATCCTTGTTTATTGTCATCCCAGCATTTTTTAATTTGTTTAAAACATAATCCATTTTTTGTTTTAACTCTGTTTTACTGGAAGCACTGATACATATATCATCTTGATAAATGAACATATTCTTAATATCACCAGTTAGTACATTTTCAATTGCTCTCTGAAAAATAGAACTTGCAGTTTTTACACCATAAGGAATATGATTCAATATGAGTTAACCTATTATGGAGTTAATTGTAGTAACTTTTTAAAAGATTTTTTTTTAACTATTTGTATCTGGTTATGCACAAATTTCATTCCCAACAACATGTGAATAGCAGTTTCAATGTTAGAAATAGAGAATGAGTCAGAGCATATTTTGTAATCCGTATATAATCTTAAATCTTCATCTGGTTTTCATAAAACATCAAGGGATAAGGCCCAATTCCTACCACCAGAGGGAGCATGCTCTAAAATTCCTTACTCCACTATTGTTTTCAGTTAAGCAACAACCAAAGGTAGAATGTGAGTGGGCAGTCTGTGAGATTCAAAGTAAGAGGAGTGACTATTTTCCTTTTAATTGAATGCTTGCTTTATACACTTTTAACCTTCCTGTCAGTTCATTCTGACTTCACACTTGATTAATTTTGCTGTATCAACTTTTAAGACATTGTAGCTGAGTTATCATAATTCACTTCTGTTGCACCAGCAGTGTCCCTTCAAGTAACTGCCCAGTGTTAACAAATGCTGGCTTTTATGCTGTCTATTGAAGTCACTACACAGATTTTCAGTTACATATGCCATTACCCAGTCTGTGCAGACTGTGTCTCCTGTGCACAGCACAGGTAATTTTATGCCACTTACATTGGGGGGAGGGGGTGGTAAAAAAGGCTATGTCCACTACCCACTCCACCTAATCTCACTGTCACACAGGTAGAAGCTGGAGGGTTCTTTTACATCTGCTGCTTCTTTGAAGATGCAGTTTGGCAGGTTCACTTGCTTCTTGAGGCAGCCCTGTCATGATCTGCCAACCTTCATTGTTGTCACTGTTGCTCAATCGGTTAGAGTCAACATCTGTTGAATGGTCATCTTTGTCCTTCATTACAGATATGTACATCTCATCATCACCTGAAGCGGTGGTTTTGTCTTCCACGGAATTGCTCACCATATGAGGAAAAGGGCAGAGGTCTCTCACGTGGCATGCATTCCATCCACATAAACTGCTCGAGGACTTAAAAATCTGGTCACTGTCCCTGTCCTCCATTTCCTCATGCATCTGTTTGGTGGATTCCTTACTAGCACATTATCCCCTTTCTTGTAAATACCCTACTCAAACTCAGGCTTCTTTTTACACTGGGGTGTCCACTGTATGAGTGTATTTGTCTTATCTATTTTGGTTCCATGCTGCTGCCAGTCACAGAACATACCTGTAGCACAGCTTCTGTCTCATTCTTCATTGCTTCCAGCCACCCCTGTGGGACTATGGTGCTTCTGTTTGCTTTGTTCTGACAAGTGTAATCTCCATACTCCTTAACCAACTTCAAAAGGGTTTGCAGCCACCTCCTGATCAGCCTCTCATTCACAGCCTTAGTGCTCACTCTGGCTTTGCTTGTCATCATGTTCATAAGCCATTGACACACACACATACACAATGAATCAGTTTTTAAATGTACAGTCTTAGCTTCCCAGTGTATAGCCAGGTTTACCCCTTTATAATAGCATCTAGCTCTGTGAGGTTTATGTGTTGTGTGTCCGACTTTAGTCACAACCAATATATGTCTTTGATACTGGACTCATGCAATTCAAGCAAAACTTCAGTGGTCAAACAAAGAACTTGCATCAACCCACAAATCAAGTTCTTTGCTATCAATGCACCACTCACTTCTACACAGGTCGCTTTGCCTCACCCTGGTAATACTCTCTGTCAGCATCCTTTTTAGCAGGGCATCATTGGTTCGATCATCCCAGCCTTTCATCACTGTGCTTGCCTTCACTTGATGACACCAGCCATCCACAGACTGGGTGGTCTCCAACAAGCTGGCCACAAAAACAGAATAGCTTCCTTCTGATGACCACCTCTGGGATTTCAGGAAGTGCATTCCTGTGCTTCCAAAGTAGAACTTTGTCTTCCTCCAGACAATTAAGCCAAGTACCCAAGCTCCATTTTTTGGTTGCTCTAGAAATTTGCTTGTCAGTCCAAAGTGTGACAGATGTTCAGCGGCACTAGTTGTGGATGTGATATCCTCATTTATGTACAAGTCATCAATGTAAACTGAGGTTGCCTCTCTGATTTTTCATCCTGAGATATCATGGCATCAATGATAGATCTCATTATTTGTGGGGGCAATATTCAGCCCAAATCCCAATCTGGTCAGGCAGTGCCTTCTGCCTTGAAAGATAACAGTTTGGTATGGCCAAAGTCATTCATTGATGCATACCTGCAGATAAGCTAATCTGAGATCTAGCAGTGCGACGTTTAATCCTTTGCATCTACATTCTCTTTGTAGGTGCAAACATCAACATCTGCAGTGTACACATCAACATGGAGGTTCCCTGTAGTCCATTATGGGATGCACTTTTGACTTGATTTGCTGCATGACAGCCATCAGTGTAAGTAGCCCTCTTGGAGTGGGGGAAGCTTCTCCTTGTCAAATAGGATAAGCCAACTCTTCTCAATCCATTGTTGCAACTCCCTCACGTATGATCCTCTGATTTTCATTGGCACAGTATGGTTTTGAAACTTGCTTGGCATTTGGCCTTCTGCACATTTCCAGGAAGGAGTCCATTCATTCCACTGCTGATCAAATTCCACCCGAAAATCAGGTTCTTCAATTGAGAGTACTGGTGCAGTGGCGCACAAAGAAACTGTTTCTTGGGTGAATCAAACTACTCCTTAAAAGACATTTTGCCAAAAGCCTCAATTGCATCTCTTCAATGGTCAATCACAAAGAGCAATTTCATGCAACTTGGCAACCACTTGACAAAAACACATGCCAAGCCAAGGTTGCTGATGCCCACAAACAAAAAAGCCAGTCTGCATAGTTCTACCAAGTACACATCAACAGATTCCCCTGGACAAATGCACTGCTCATAGAATTGTTCATACACGACAAACCCATCTGTCATGAATGCTGTGTAAAAGGCCAATTTTATGTGTCCAACATCTGCTTTTTCCTCTTCACTTAAATGCTGACAGACAGCAAATGCCCTACCCTACAGTCTTAGAGGAATCACACATTCTGGCGGCTTCTCTTCACACATCTTGCAATTGAGTTTCACCTTTTCTATCCATTTGACCACATTTGTCCCAGACGTTAAACTGTCAAACTCTGACATAAAATGGATATCAAACTTTCCCTTCAACATAGTTTGCAATATTGCTGAAATATCTTGTTCGGTGAAGTAGCAGATAAAAAAGGTCACCCCAACCAGCTGCTACCTGTGCGATAGTGAGATTGGGGGGGAGTGTATAGTGGACACAACCAGTTCCCCTGACACAATCTGCGTGTAGCTGAGTTATTGTAATTTGATCCTGTTGCACTGGTGACGTCCCCTCAAGTAATTGCCTGGTGTTAACAAATGCTGGTTTTTATGGCATCTAGCAAGGTCACTATAAGGATTTGGGATTATGTGAGACATCACCCAGTCCATGCAGATTGAGTCTCCTGCACAGGCAATCTTATGCTGCTTAAGCTAGAGGCACAGACTGTGTCCACTACAGGCATCTATTCCAACAAAGCAACCTAACATTTTGATGAAAGAGCCATTGAACTCTCTTAGTTTCAGATAACTTTCCTTTAATTTGGGTTTGCCTATTTCTTCCCAGAAATTTATTAGGATTAAGATGACATCACTCTCAGTATCTACTTGCACAGAAAAAGTTATACCATGTAATTTTTTCTCTGGACTTTTCGCTTTAGTCTTTGTATCACATATACATCAGTATTTTCCTGAGGTGGGGAGTGGTAAATTTTCCACACTTTTTATATTTGCAAACAGACTGGAAATGATCTTCCTTCTCGCAATTTCAGTATATTTGTCCAAAAGCTGGACATTTTTTCTAGTCCTGTTCATTGCAGTGCTTGCATCGTATGCTTTGGCATTGCTCTTAGATGTATTGAATTTATCAATTAATTGTAATTGTTGCAGAATCTGTACACATGCATCTAAAAACATTTTAATTGTAATTGTTCTAAAATTTTGTGTTTATACAAAGCATCAAACTATTAATCTCAACTGTATTGACTTGCCATCTATGGTCATTTCTCCCATGCCAAGTTTTTTAAACTCACAGAATCTGGAGACCTCTCATAACTTGTGTATATACTATATTTCTAGTTAGCTCTTGTTCTTTGTCCTTTCCACAGTAACCACCTATTTTTTTTTGGTTGCAAGTTATTTTTTTATAATGTCTGAAATTTCTGAAAACATTAAGTCCTCTAATTCTTTGGGATGCATCACAGAGATCTTTTTAATGGCCTCATAGCCTGCTGAAGCCAAAAAGAGATTTGTAATCTCGTTCTCTTCTCTTGCAACTCTGTTGTCTCTTAACTTTCTGGCTTCAAACCAACAAATCCATGTTTGTACAAAATCTGGTTCATCCAACAGTATTAAAGATCCTATTAGTGATGACATGTTGTGTTGTCTTCCAGCCTATGACATGGAAGTAATTGTTCCCATGTTGACTGACTTATTTGTAGTCATTTGACTTTATACAAAATAGGGTAAGTCCATTTTGTATATCTGACATTTTCTTCATTTATTTTTATGGCTTATCAACCTTTTGCAGGATATTTGAAGCCAGAAACTATTTTTAGATTGTAAAAGATTTTTGGCAATACTAACGATTTACTTATACAAGTCCTACTAATTAACCCATAGCTGGGAAGAGAAAAGGTGGATTCATATTTTTTCTAAGAGTATTTACATATAAGTGAATATTATGAACTTGACTAGCATTGGATCTCAGCTCTCTAATTTCCAATTCCGAGCTGTTATCCATTACACATGTATATCCAAGCTTACAGCACCTGGTATTCTCAAGCAGTCACCCATCTAGGTACTCACCAGGCTCGACATTGCTTAACATGTGATTGTATGAGAACTGGTGTTTCAACGTGATATGTCTGTAAGCCCTGACGATTAAGCATGTCTGACAAGTTTTATTAACAGGAAAGTAACCATTTAATACTACTTCTTTTTTCCTAATGTCCCCCAATACAAGGCCCAAGGGCCACTCAAGGTAGAGGGTTACTGTGTGGAATTATATTAGCATAAGAAAGAAAAGATATCTAATTCTAGACTTGAAGAGGTCAGGATTTAATTAGTGAATAAAATTTTAGAGTTCAGATGAAGACGTTAGGAGTATAGAGTTGAAATAGACTTAACAAGGGACTGGAAACCCAATCTTAAGCAGGAAATAAGTGTTAAACCTCTACTCATGTTCAAAAAAACAGAGAGGAGTGTGAAGCAGACGATAGTCAAACCTATCTACTCCTATTTCTGTGAAGGGTATGTAATTAAAGAATGATAAGTCCAAATTCATTATGAGAAATAAATATCACAGTTGCTGTTAAAGTTTCATATTGCCAGGGGATATGATAAAAATCTTTTTTTTTATTATATATATATATTTGGGCTTTGAACAGTACTCAGAAGCATCCCTTACTGAAATATTTATAGATAGACAAATAGTGAAAACAAATACAATCTAAAAGTAGTGTTTTGAAAGCTGAAATTTAGTCAATAATCTGTCTGAAATAAGAAGAGGTCAGCACATGGTCTGCTTTTGTTGATCCCCAAACAGTTGCCAGTTATAAAAACAGAAATGAGGAAAATAAATATTTTATGGTCAATAAAATGGTAAGCCAGGGGGAAAACTTTAGTGAGAGAAGAAAGAGAAATGGAGGTATCTAGATGCCACTTGAAGAAAAGCAAAAAGAATTTTCTGTAGTAGTTTCGGCCCATTAGCACTACTGTGATTTTAAATACACAAATTTGATTTTTCAAAGACAGAAACACTAATATGAACCAAAAACAGTTTTCTTTATTATAAGAGGTCAATTTAGTAACTAAAATCACAAATAATATATATTCTGAAAACCAAAACCAAGAATTGTTTTCTACATAATACTGATTCATATAAAATCAATGAATCTATTTAAATATTCTGAAAAATGTTTCCTATTTTCATAACAATCAGAAATTTTTTTCTCCAATATCCAATAACAACAGGCGACTTTTGCTCAGAGGCAAATTAATTTTTTTCTCAGCTAATGATATAATAAAGAACTATTTGAAAGAAACTTGTGGAAATCTATAAAAGACTATGAATCTTGTTATAATATTTTCTTGCTACTTTCTGAATATTTTAATATTTAAAAATAATTTTTTTAAGTAGTTAAACCAGGTTTATCTATACAAACAAATATTCATATCTGATTTTTCATAAAATATTAAAAAAAAATTAATAATAGCAACTTACCAAGCAAGCAGTTATTATAAAGAGAAGCTGATTCTTCTGGGATTGAGAGGTGATCGTTATTTGCTGGAACAATCTGATCATGGTAATTTTCTCGCTTCTCATATGAACATTCACTACATTGTGAATCTTTATGAAAACATTCACTTTCTCTCACTTGCAATCGAGGCCTTTTTATAACTTTATATTCATTATACTGTTCATTTTCATCCATTTGTAACTCACTCAGCCTCTTTGTTTTATTACCATCTTGCTCTGCTCTTGATTTAGATGGAATACAATTTTTTTTGTTAGATTCAGAGTCAGCAGATAACACATAATCTTTACAAAGGAATGGTTGTTTTCTTTTAAGAGAAATAAAACAAGAATCTTGAACCATGTTTGCCCAATAATTATAATCAGGATTTTGGTATTCAGAACAATTAATATTTCCCTCTATTGAAACAGATGATTTCATTTGAGCTGAATTTTTGTTTTTCCTTGATGCTATTTCTTTCCAACTAGAAGCATTCAAATGATTGTCATTAGTAACAAAGGATTGAGATTTGGATTCAATAGCATTACAAGAGTAGACTACTTCATTTAGATTGCTTAAGCTAGCAGTGATTAAGTTCTCTTTCAAGGAATCAGATTTGGATGGAACTGGAATATCAGTAATGTGTCTATTTTCATTTGGCAATGTTGAAACGTGCAATGGTTCTTCATGAGGTTGTGCCAAAGGCTTGTAAGTGACAATCCTACTATTTGCATCTAATTCTTTTATATGTATTGTTGCTTGGAAATTTGAGTAGCTACCAGTGTACTGAACAGAGATCAGACTTTTGTCTGACAATTGAGCTTTATTACCCAAAGCAATTGATTTTTGAGTCTTGTATTCACTGTTAAATCCATGCTGATATGGGCTGCAAGAGATCATGTGCTCAGGAAGATAAGATATACTTTCTGAACTGTACAGGAACATAGGCATCAATTTCTTTATATGCATAGCAATGGTTTGTACATTAAAATTTATCAAGAGTGTAGTCCAGGGTTCTTTACAGAGTTTATATTCTTCATTATATATATTTGATAAACCAAATGTTTTTATATTTGCATTGATGGATTTTATGCTTCTCTCAGATTCAGCATCTGAATATATTGCTTTATTAGTATATTTGATGCTGTGGGGACAGTTTGTGGAAAAATAAGATTCATTATTTTGGTAATGTTTCTTATGTAAACCAAACAGAAAATTACATGTGTCTATGATTTCAATCTTTCTGTCTTGAATATCTTCTTTTTTTTCAGTAAATTCAAAAGACATATCCATAAACGTATTGTCCTCGGTGTCACAACTTGTGTGCTTAAATTTCTTTATCATCTGACTTTGACATCCATCAGAATTAGACATATTATTATCATCACATGAAACCCACTTTATATTGTTGTTGCTTTTGCTAATAACAAGCTGACATGGGATTCTGACAGAATCTGCAAATTGTAAATGCCAGTTCAGATTTTTACAATTGAAAAGGCAAGCTTCTATATCTTTTATTGGCTTTTCAACTATTGATAATTCGAAACCCCGTAAATTAATCTGCTTTTTCACTGAGCTGAAGAAGCTTTTTGGAGAATTCAATAAATGCTGGTCACCAATTTCATTCCTCACCTCAATATTTTTTTCATCTGACAAATCAAAAATAGTATTCTGATACAATTGGGAATTTTGAAGCTTTAAATAAAGCAAAGTTTTTGTTGCTACACTTTGTTCTTTTTCATCCATTTCCTTTGTGATTTTCTTAATTTCTACTTCATTTTCAAAATTTTTTATTTCACCAATGAACAATGTTTTACTTTTGCATTTTGCAAGAGAAAAGCATTTTTTCTGTTTTCTCTGCAACTTCTCTGCTAATTTCCACAGATGAAAATCAAAAGGCTGAAGCAATATTGAATATTGGAAAAATCCAATAATATGCTCAAACAGTTCTGGGATTGAAATTGCTGGCAGATTAGAAGCTACATAAAAATTAACTTTAGAAATGGAAGAATCAATTCTGGTACAGTTCCATGGGATGAGCTTATGTGTGGGCAGATTAAAAATGTATTGTTTACAAATATTCAATTGTCTATCAGAATTCCTTCTATCAATTTTTTTGGTAAAGTCATTTAAGGAAATACACTGGAGAACTGGTAAATCTATAACACATAATATTTTCTCTCTAAATGTATTCATAAAAAGGTAACCTAACTCAGTTTTATTGAGTAGATTTAGAAGATTCTTGCTTTTCTGAATTATTCCCGATTGATCTGCTCCACCAATAACATAAAACAGTTTCTCTTGTTTCTGCATAAGTTCTTGGCAATCTTCAGCTAAAATTTCTCTTAACCTCATTCTTATGTGGTTGTTCATTTAAATAAACAGAGATTCTTTCTAGATAGGATTGACTTGGATCTGATAAACTTTGAATTGTTGGCAGCAAGACCTCTATAAGCTTTTCTTTTTTTGTTTGCTTATTGATCTTCAAGTAATCACCTGAATGGTTTCCACACAACAGTAGTTCTTCTTGTCAGAAAGTAAAGAAATTAATAATTACTTAGTGCTTCTTATATTCTTTACAAGGATTAAAAAGTTTCTTTTTCAAGCCAGGATTTCAAGTAGAATGCAGAAAAATAATATATCAAATGAAGAAAATGGAGTTCTATTAGAAAATCATCTTCAATTGCATATTATTGAATTTTATACTTGTTTATTAATTTGAATTTTATACATTTGGTATTATTTTTCTATATTCCTGTTTTATGCTTTTGGTATTCTTTTCTATATTCCTTTCTCATTAATGATTGCATGAATCTGAAATGAACAATAAATAGTTTGAATCATGAGAGTATAAAAGGGTGTTCAATAAGAAAAAAATTATTCAAACAAAATATTTAAAACTTTTGCCTATTGGGATCACAGTTCTTTACAACTTCTACATAAGACTATTAATAATCATTTCAATTAAAACAATGTTTTGTCATAAATAGCTGGTAGTAAAGAGAGTTATTTTATTGGGTTGGAACAAAAGTTCATAGCACTTTTCAACACATGACACTTGATTTTGTTTCACATTTGACTGGAATTTATGGAATATATCCATATTCTGAAATTTTCTATACAATTGATGAATGGATTATTAAGTTTAAATGTTTAAACTTTAAAAAGTGAAAATGGAAGAAAATGAGATGAATTTTTCATTTGATGTTTTTATTTCCCCAAAGACAAAAACACTGTACAAACAGCAAAAACATGTATGGAGATGGTGCCATAGCTGACAATATGGTTTATAAGTGGTTGACTAGCTTCAGTTTTAACTGTAAGTCAGAGAACATCTCAGCAGTCATTGATGATGACCAAATGAAAAATCTGATTAAAATAATCCAGGTTACATGACTTAGGATAGCATAGAGATAATCCACATATCTCATATGAGCATTGTAAGGCATGAAGAAACAATTGGATACATGAATCACTACAATGTTTAAGTGCCAAGACAAACAGAAAGAAATTTAATGGACCACATCTGCAATTCTCTGCTCAAATGTGAACAAAAATGCTCACAAATGATAAAAATAGAATTTAAAACAATATGGAGTAAAAATGAAATGAACCACTGTTAACCACTTC